TGGTGGTGATGATGGTGGTGGTGATGGTGGTGGTGGTGATGATGGTGGTGGTGATGGTGGTGGTGATGGTGATGGTGGTGGTGATGGTGATGGTGGTGGTTATGGTGATGGTGGTGGTGATGGTGATGGTGGTGATGATGATGGTGATGGTGGTGGTGATGGTGGTGATGATGATGGTGATGATGATGATGGTGATGGTGGTGGTGATGGTGGTGATGATGGCTGGCGGTGGGGGTGTTCCTTTCTGCAGCCATAAGCCCCAGGAGACTCATAGCCATGTATATACATCCATCCACTCATCCATTCATTAAACATGAACAGGAGACCTACTGGGTGCTGGGGCTCCAGTGCTGAAGAGAATGTACAGATCCTGCCCTTGCAGCCTTTACCTGGGGCCTGGGCTCCTGTGTCTGTCTGTCTGTCTGCCCCTAGGATTCCCCTCAGAGGCCAGTGGCACAGCTCAGCCTCGCTCGGGGGACCATGTGTGGCAAGGGGACCGCCCCGAGGTCCTGGAGTCGCCCCTGCGGGACGAAGAGGGCCTCCAGTGCCTCTTCCCTTCCCGTTGGTCCGGAGCAGCATGTGTTCATGTTTGGGGGGGGCATTTCCACTGAGTGGTGATGGCTGAGTGGCTATCCCTCCCCACCCCACCCCGTAGAGCTGCAGTTCTGCCAGGCTCTCTTTCAAGAGCCCATCTGTCTGGTAGTGAACCCAAATTCCTGGGACTCTATTCCTGACCTTAACATCTAAAGGAGGCTGGACTCTTAAGGCCAGATGGGGAGGGTGGCAGGGTCACCCATTGGCCCGTCCCCTCCTCCCCACTCAGTTCTCTTCCACCCCTGGGACTTCTTTTTTCCAGAACCCCAAGCCCTCCTGAGCTCACCCTCCTGTGTCGGGGACACTCACGCTGTGGAATGAGGACCCACGGGTGGCAGCAGCTGTGGATCGTGCCTCGGGCCGCTTTCCTGCCCATTGCATGCCTGCCTGGGCCGGTGGCCCTGGGAGCTGGCACTTCACCGCTGGCATGTCATTCTTTTGATATGAGTAACAGCCAAGCTGGTCCAAGAAATGCCCATTGTTTCCTGCCTGCTGCTGTCCAGTCTCCAAAAAATAAAAAGACCCGATTGCCTCATCACGTGAGGAGGCCAGGGGGACAGGCTTCAGGGAACGGGGCCCCCCCAGGGGCCGTGGGAGAGACCCTGCCCACGAGACGGCAGATACCCAGGGCTGAACACTACAAGCCCAGGAGGACCGCATACCAGAACGGTTTGCGCAATTGCTCCTGGTTGGAGAATCATTTTGATTTAGTCCTAACAGCTCCATGGAGAGTTTCCACGTTGGGGAAAATTCTATCAAGATACCCTAGTATTGGAGTCACAGTCTTTCTTTAATGCAAAGTTCATACAACACATATTTTACTTCCTGTTGCCTCTGGCAGGGTCTGGATGAATGTAGGATTGGAGCTGACCTTCAGGTGGGGTACCCGCTCTCTTGCCCTCACCCCACCCTGCCTGATTTCTGGTAGGTAGGAGCTCAGCCCCTTAATGGAGCAGCACAGATCCGGATAAAGTCCGTTTAACGCTGTGCTGTCTGGTCTGGCTGGAGGGGAACGTTTCCCTGCAGGAGGCTTAAGCTGGAAAATATCCATGACGAATACAAGGAGCTTTTGGGTGGAGGTTTAAATACTGTGTCAAGATGCATAAAAAACACAATTAACCATGGTGTGAGGCAGGTCATGTCTCTGGGAAACTGTGTGTCTGAACAAATCAAAGGAACATGTGGGAATGAACTCCTAAGCATTTTTATCAAGAAAGAGTTTGGGCTGGAAATGGGGCTGAGTGATAGGGTCACTGGAGAAGAAAATGGCAATCCAGTCCAGTATTCTTGCCTGGAGAATTCCGTGGACAGAGGAGCCTGGCGGGCTACAGTCCATGGGGTTGCAAAGAGTCAGACGTGACTGTGCGACTCACTTTTATAGGGTCACAGACCTGGTTCTTCATCAGGAAGGACAAGGGAAGGTGGACAAGGTGTTTTTGAGATGCGTGATTTGGCACATGTATAGTTTTTGGTGGCTCAGTGGTAAAGAATCTGCCTGCCAATGCAGGAGATGTGGGTTTGATCCCTGGTTCAGGAAAACCTCCTGGAGAAGGATTTAGCAACCCACTCCAGCATTCTTGCCTGGGAAATCCTGTGGGCAGAGGATTCTGGCCAGATACGGTCCATTGGGTTGAAAAGAGTTGGACAGGACTGAGTGACTGAACAACAATTGTTGTCAGTAGGATTTAACCCTCAGCCTACAGCCGGCCTGTTCCCCTCTGTCTGACTTCCCTTTCTCTGTGTGTTCAGGAGCTATTTCATGACCTACACAACAAAAACTGCAAGATTAACCAGGACAGTGTGGGTGAGATGTTCAATAGGGTCCCATTTGGTTGCAGAACATGGAAACATTGGCTCTGACCCACACATCTTGGTGCTTTCATCTTCCCTAAAAACTATTGGAAAAGACCCTGATGCTGGGAGGGACTGGGGGCAGGAGGAGAAGGGGATGACAGAGGATGAGATGTCTGGATGGCATCACTGACTCGATGGACATGAGTTTGAGTAAGCTCCCAGAGTTGGTGATGGACAGGGAGGCCTGGCGTGCTGCAGTCCATGGGGTCTCAGAGTTGGACGCCACTGAGCAACTGAACTGAACTGAACTGAAAAACTATTGACAATGTATCATTTTTACATCTAGAAGTAATGGAGCTTTGGTACAGCTGTAGCTGAGCTTGCTAGAAAGTAGCTGCCCTAATGAATGAGCAAAGCCAGAAAACCTCCGCCCTCAGTACTCTTGCTGTTTTAAGCAGAGGCCTTCAGAGGAGTCCCTGGGATACTTTGCAGTGCACACTCCCGGGCACTGAAGAGGTGGTTCTGTGAAATAAGGTCTGTGCCAAATGCAGCCTTTGGCACAGACCTCAGTTTTCCAAGCTCCGGAACAGAGTTGCCAATTTTGTCTTGTCTCACCTGTCTGAGGGGCTTCTCCGGTGGCTCAGCAGTAAAGAATCTGCCTGCCATGCAGGAGACACGGGTTCAATCCCTGGGTCAAGAAGATCCCCTGGAGGAGGAAATGGCAACTCACTCCAGTATTTTTGCTGGAAAAATGCCATGGACAGAGGAGCCTGGGAGGCTACAGTCCGTAGGGTCACAGAGAGTCGGACACACACACACCTGTCTGAAGCTAGCATATCTGAGACTTGGCTGGAGCTGGAAGACCCACTTCCTTGGCTGGCAAGCTGATGTCTGCTCTGGGTTGCAGGCCACAGTTCCTTCCCATGTGGAGACATACAAAGGACCACTTGAGCATCCTTATGAGAGGCAGCTGATTTCCCCCAGAGACAGTGGTCCCAGAGAAAGTGAGGCAGAAGTTGAAACATCTTTTAAGACCTAGCGTCAGAAGTCACAAGGTCTTTCCTGCAGTATTCCATTGGTCGTACAGGTTAGCCCCACTTACACAGAGAAGAATGACCTGTCCTTTCCAAAGAGTACGTGTTGTTTGTTGTTGTTCAGTAGTGAGGTCGTGTCCAACTCTTTGCGACCCCATGGACCAAGGGGCTTCCCTGCCCTTCACTGTCTCCCGGAGTTTGCTCAAACTCATGTCCGTTGAGTCAGTGATGCCATCCAACCATCTCATCCTCTGTCATCCCCTTCAGTCCTCCTGCCTTCAGTCTTTCCCATCATCAGGGTCTTTTCCAATAAGTCAGCTCTTTGCTTCAGGTGGCCAGAGGATTGGAGCTTCAGCTTTAGTATCAGTCCTGCTAATGAGGAATATGTTGGTGAGGAACCTTTATTCTTTTACTATCCTGGGTGTGTTAGTTGTGGCTTTTAGCAGTAGCAGCTCAGAATTGAGAAAAGGAGCTGGCAGGAAGTTATGGAGTGGTCCTTGGAATGAACTGGAAGGCTGGTTAAACAGTCTGAAAAGGGGAAGGGCCAAGGCTCACAGTGAGCTGCAGTCACGTCTGGGCCGCCGGAAGCTCTCAGCAAGGATGTGGGCCGTGGCTCATGGCTTCTGGGGCTGTGGATGTTTCTGCTACTGGACTTTGGAAGCTGCGCCCTCTGCCCGCGGTTTCAAGACATCCCTGGATCCACGACTCACCCCGAAGAGTCAGTCCTGGTAAGACTGACGGTTGCAGCCCTGTCACCTCCCTGTCAAAACCTGGGCTGCAGGTGCGTGGAGGGCAGGGTGTAGGTGGGATCCTGCCCGGGAGGTGGAGCGCTTTGAACCACTGAGCGCGCCTAAGAGGGATGCTCAAAAGTGGGAGGAAGAGTTGAGGCTGCTGAGGGCGTCCCCCAAACACCGGCATTTGTGCTGCCTGATTTGTACTGAGCCCAAGGGTTATTTCTGTCTCCAAGTACACCCTGTGTTACATATTAATATATTCCTGAAAAGTTATGTGAATTTGAATCGTGGTTTATACACACTGGCTAAGCTTAATACCTTCTAGAAGTCTGTAGATAATCCTTTTGTAAAGCAGCTAATCCTTTTAGGGAACAAATAATCACTTCTTAATGGTTTTTTTTTAAGGTCAAGACTCTGCATATTGTGTTTTCTCAAGGCAGAGGATCCAACTTCCAGGTTTCCTCTTTTGCTCATAGCGAGGGACCATGACGGCTTTATGTATAACTGTTTGCAGTGTCTCATGCTGTGTGGAAGAAAAAAAACACTGAGGGTTTGTTTGTTTTCTTCATTTTTCCTTCTCTACTGCAATTGATTGTCTTCTGGAAGGAAGCACAGGCTATTAAAATTTTTAAAGAGCTTGTTTTTATTTTGTTCTTGCCCACAAGGCTGTTTTAACGTGAGCGTGTTTAGTGGCGAACAAGGGAAGAAGCAAGCATTTTTAGTTGTTCTGTGGGAAATTAGATTTGGAAAATTCACCTTTAATGTTAGTTTTTTTGTTTTTCCCTTCTGTGGGAGGCTCCCACATCACAGCAGGAAAATTTGATTCCATTTCCAAGAGTTGTGTTCAGGTTTCCTGGTTGACTGGGGGCAGGGGCCTGGACGGGAGGGGCGTGGGGAGCAGGGCAGAAGCATGGGCCCAGCTCCGCAGGGGCCGTGACAGGTTCTGTGTGTGCAGAGGAATCCAGGTGGAACAGGAGCGAGCAGAACCATCGGATGAGGAGCGGGGTGGGGGGCAGTCGGGCAGCTGGTGTCGGAATCTGCTCGAGAGGAGAGATGCAGAGATGGGGGAGACACAGGAGACAGCTGCCATTCAGGCGCCTCCGCGTGCTGTGTGTGTGCATAGCTGAAGTCTCCATCCCCACAGAGTAAGGGGACAGGAAAGCTGGGGCGGCCTCCACCCCAGGGCAGGTCTCTCACGCCTGTAGGAAGGTAAGCACGTGTGTTACTACATCAGTAAGGCTGATTCCACCCCTTTCTCCTCCAGCGTTGGAACCCATCAGTGTCATTGGTGGACACTTGAGGAGGCACTGACTTCTATTTTCAGACACTGTGTTATTAAAACATAGATTCTTTTTTAATAATTTTTTAAAAAACAACAACAACAAAATCAGACCCTGGAATCATACTGCTTATGGCAAGATGCCCCCTCTAAGAAGGCACAGGAGGATGGAGTGGATTCCCTTCGTGTCGCTGAATTTTCTTAACGTTGAATGTGTGTAAGATGTCAGCCCATCTTATGGTTAGCAAAACTAAGCCTTGGACATGGGACACAGGTTGTTCAGAGCCCTGTCCCCTAGAAGGTGGCAGAGAGGGGATTCCGTCCCAGGTCTGTTGGCTGTCCGAGCAGGGCCGGTCGCCACCCCGGCAGGCAGGGTGGTGATGAGCAGAGCAGCTTGGAGGAGACGTGTCTGGGAACCGAGGCAGCTTGAGTTGAGCCTCCTGCAATTCCGGATGGACATCCTGAGATGGCCACTGCGTTGAATAAAATATGTGGCTAAAGTACATACAGTAAACAACATTTTTCAGTGGGTTATTTTACTCTGTATGTCAGAATACAAATGATTCTGATTCCATGGTGGGACATAGGGTGAATTACTTTCCTGATTTAATTTTACGTTTAAGTGTGTGCTAAGTCGCTTCAGTCATGTCCGACTCTGTGTGACCCTATGGACTGTAACCCGCCAGGCAGGAATACTGGAGTGAGTTGCCATTTCCTTCTCCAGGGGATCTCCCCGACCCAGGGATCGAACCTGTGTGTCTTACATTTCCTGCATTGGCAGGCAGGTTCTTTACCTCTAGTGCCACCTGGAAAGCCATTACTTTTAAGAGCAGATAGTAATTTCCATTAATCTGGGTGCCTTTTAGTGTGTTATTTATTATTATTATTATTTTGCTATTGTTATTTAACTGGATTTCCCCATATTTTTTGTTATATTTTGGTATAAAACAGAAAAAGCACCATCATTTTTTTGGCCAAGAAAATTAATGCACTCTGCAAAAACTGTTAGAGGGAATATTGACTTCCTAATACAATAACCCTGAATTGCTTCCCCCCCCCAGCCAAGATTCGCAAATTACGTTAGTGGTAGCCTTCAGATTTATACTTAGAGAAAAACTTCAAAAGAAGATTTATTGCTGTTCTTCACTCATTTTCCAGCCATTCTCACACAACCATCTGAACAAACCTTAAAATTCCTTTCATTTAACAGAGAAAGCAGCCTCTCAGTTGCTCCTGTTTTGTTTATCCAGTTCTCATCTGTGTGCCGACTTCCTGGCCTTCTTTCCCTTTCAGTAAATCGTGTTTGTTATTGACAAGACCATTTTGTTTCCTTAGAGCTTGGAACTTCTGAGTGGGAAGGAAATAGGTGAAACCTTAGTGCAGACACAGCAGTTCTTTAACTGTTTTTAAATGCACATATTATCATCGGTTCGTATTGATTCTATGTGGCCTTCTTTCGGAAGCGTTCCAGTGCCAATCCATTCCCCTATTTCATGTCTTTACTGGTTTTTCTCTGTGTACCTAGAACCGATTGTTCTGGGAGTGTGAGAGGTTTGTGTGCTGGGTTAGCTCAACATGCGTGTTTATGCTGAGTCCGTCTACAAGGCTGAGTAACTAGGAAACATCCTACCCTGAGTACAGGCTCAGAGGTGTGGCCTGGAAATGTGTATCCATCTTTGAAATAACATTTTGGAAAGCACAGTATTTGGTAGATAAGGACTGTACTGAAGTCACAGGAAAAACAAACAAACAAACAAAGATCATGGGACTTCCCTGGTGGTCTAGTGGTTAAGACTTCCTGCTTCCAGAGCAGGGGGCCAGATTCTGTTCCTGGTCAGGGAATTAAGATCCCACATGCCATGTGGTGCGGCCAAAAAAGTTAAAAAGAAAGAAAGAAATCATGGCATTTGATTTCATAATGTTCCTTGTCCAGCCTAACTTTCATAACTGAACCAAATGCTGAGAGCAATATTAGAGGTCAAGGTCACCATAAATCAGCTTTCACACTGGAGAATGAAAATTAACTGTATAGTCACGCACAGTGACATGTCTGTTAAATACAGAGATTGCTGTGAATAGATTTATGCATTCAATTTGTTTGCAGTTTTCAAAACCTCATTAATTGTAAGCCCAATGACATTGTTTGCTGTTTCAAATCACTTATAAATTACACATGTGCTACTTAATCTTAAAAGCAAAATTAAACCTTGGATTGGTATACATTTCAAGTTACAACTGTAAGCCATTGTATTTGGGGGAAGGAGTTGAATATGCACTGTAAAATAAAAATTAGGAGGTGCTTTGCATTCATGGTGATTTATGTAATTAGATTCTGTCAACTGTAATTTTTCAGGTTAATTACTTCTGTGGTATATGTCATGTAAATAATAAAGTTATCAATCTTGTTTCATGTTAAAATTATTATATAAATCCTTAGTATTAAAGTCATAAGATGCTGTGCTGTGCTTAATTGCATATGATTCTTTGCAACTCCATGGACTGTAACCCGCCAGGCACCTCTATCCATGGGGATTCTCCAGGCAAGAATGCTGGAGTGGGTAGCCTTTCCCTTCTCCAGGGTATCTTCCCAGCCCAGGGATCAAACCCAGGTCTCCCACATCGCAGGCAGATTCTTTACCATCTGAGCCACTGGGGAAGCCCAAGAATACTGGAGTAGGCAGCCTATCCCTTCTCCAAGGGATCTTCCCAACCCAGGAGTCGAACTGGGGTCTCCTGCATCGCAGATGGATTCTTTACCAGCTGAGATACCAGGGAAGCCCAAATAATAAAGTTACCAATCCTGATTCAATTAAAATTATTATATAAATACTTAGTGTTAAAGCAATAAGGTATTTTAAGTTAATTACTTGGAAGTATGAGTTGTATGGTAAATAGGTAAAATTGATTTTTGTAAAGAAATCAACAAAGATGGATATTTCACTTGTTTAACAATATAGGTGTTTACCAAGTCTATACCTGGGCCAGGTGCTGAGGACCGCAAGAGCAGGAAACCATGGGCACTGCGCCCAAGAGTGCTGGTCCAGCATGGCATCTCCGAAGGGTTCCCTGGTGACCATGCCCCCTCCCGACGCGTCTCTGCCCAGTGTGGTTGGGTGCGCTGAGATCTGTAGGTGCGGCAGGTGCCACTTGAAGGGGGTGAGGACACCAGGTTTCCCAGCTGGCTCTAGCGGTAAAGACCCCGCCTGCCGATGCAGGAGACATAAGAGATGTGGATTCGATCCCTGCGTTGGGAAGATCCCCTGGAGGAGGGCATGGTGACCCACTCCAGTATTCTTGCCTGGAGGATTCCCATGGACAGAGGAGCCCGGCGGACTACAGCCAAGGGTCGCAAAGAGTCAGACACGACTGAAGCGACGCAGCACGCATTTCCAAACAGTTTTGGCCATAGGGACTGTTCTGGTAACATCCCTGAGTGTGTTGGTCTGCACTCTGGGATTCTTAACCTGGAGTCTCCTGGGAGTCCATGGATAGAATTCAGAGGGTCTGGAAATTTAGATTAGGGGAAAAATTTACACCTCTATTTCTATATAATTGGCTTCCTTTGTCATTCCTCACATCTTTAAACATTTTTTTTTCATGGTCGGAAGAATGTGTATGTATATATATATTTTTTAGTTTATGGTTAATTTCTATTTGTTATTGAAGTATAGTTGATTTACAATATTGTGTTAATTTTAGGTGTATAGTAAAGTGATTCAGTTACACATATATTTTTTTTAAGATTTTTTTTTCCCTTAGAGATTATTACAAGGTACTAAGAGTTCCCTGTGCTATATAGCAGGTCCTTGTTGATTATCTATTTTATATATGGGAGTGTGTTAATGTTAATCCCAAACTCCTAATTTATTCCTCCCCCCTTCCTGTTTGCTAACCATCAATTTGTTATGTCTGTGAGTCTATTTCTGTATTGTATGTAAGTTCATTTGTATCATTTTTTCAGATTCCACATAAAAGTGATACCATACGATACTCCTCTTCCTTCGCCTGGCTTACTTAGGAACAATTAAATTTTTTTTTTCCAAAATTTAAAAGTCACCCTTTTTGTGTACAGCTGCATGAGCTTTCCCAAATGCATAGAGATATGTAACCACCACCACCTTCAAGAATCCAGCCTTGCCCCCCAACTAGACAGCCTCTCGGGCTGTGTGTTTACAGTAGACTCTCTAACTCCACCCCTGACTCCTGGCAACCATTGATCTGTCCTCCATTCCTGGAGTGTTTGCTTTTCCTAGAATGGTCCATAAATAGAATCAGACAATATGTGGCCTTTTGAGTCTGGCTTCTCTCACTTAGCGTATGGGTTTAAGAGTCACTCTTGCGGTTGTGTATGTCAGAATTGCTGGGTGGTTTCTCTATGGATATACTCACCTCTGGTTACCCGTTCTCCACATGGGGCTGTATTTGGGCTGTCCCCAGGTGGGGGCACTTATAAATAAAACCAGGCTTCCCTGGTGGTGCAGGCAGTAAAGAAACCACCTGCACTGCAGGAGACCCAGGTTCCATCCCTGGGTTCGGAAGATCCCCTAGAGAAGGAATGGCAACTCACTCCAGTATTCTTATCTGGAGAATTCTATGGACATAGAAGCCTGGTGGGCTACAATCCATGGGGTCACAAAGAGTCAGACATGACTGAGTGACTAACACACACACATTAATAATATGGCTCTAACATGTGCATCTAAGTTTCTCTGTGAGCCTAGATTTGTTTCACTTGGATAGGTAAGCAGGATGGGATTGCTGAATCACATGTGTGTAACATTATTTTTTAAAAAAAGCAACTTGTTCTCCATAGTGATGTACTGTTTGCTTCCCTACCAGCAGCGGAGGAGGATTTCAGTTGCTCTGTATCTTTGCCAACATTTGCTATTGTCTGTTGTTTTGCTGTTCAGTTGCTAAGTCCTGCCCCAAGGATCCCTGTCCTTCACTGTCTCCTGGAGTTTGCTCAGATTTATGTCCATTGAGTCAGTGATGCTACCTAATCATCTCATCCTCCACTGCCCACTTCTTTTGCCTTCAGTCTTTCCCAGCATCAGAGTCTTTTCCAGCGAGTCAGCTCTTTGCACCAGGTGGCCAAAGTATTGGAGCTTCAGCTTCAGCATCAGTCCTTCCTTATGAGTATTCAGGATTAATTTCCTTTAGGATTGACTGGTTTGATCTCCTTGCTGTCCAAGGGACTCTCAAGAGTCTTCTCCAGCATCATAATTTGAAAGCATCAATTTTTCAGTGCTCAGCCTTCTTTATGGTCCAACTGTCACATCTGTATATGGCTACTGGAAAAACTATGGCGTTGACTGTATGGACCTTTGTCTGCACCGTGATGCTTTGCTTTTTGACAAACTGTCTAGGTTTGTCATAGCTTTCCTTCCATGGGGCAAGCGTCTTTTAATTTCATGGCTGCAGTCACAGTCTGCAGTGATTTTGGAGCCCCCAAAAAGAAAATATGTCACTGTTTCCATTTTCCTCCCTTCTATTTGCCATGAAGTGATGGGATCAGATGCCATGATCTTGGTTTTTTTGAATATTGAGTTTCAAGCCAGCTTTTTCACTCTCCTGTTTCACCCTCATCAGGAGGTTTTTCACTTTCTGCCACTAGAGTGGTGTTATCTCCTTATCTGAGATTGTTGATATTTCTCCCGGCAATCTTGATTCCAACTGGCGATTCATCCAGCCCAACATTTCACATGATGTACTCTGCATAGGAGTTAAAGAAACTGGGTGACAAGGCACAGCCTTGTCTTACTCCTTTCCTGATTGTGAACCAGTCCATTGTTCCACGTCCGGTTCTAACTGTTGCTTCTTGACCCGCATACAGATTTCGCAGGAGGAAGCAGGGTGGTCTGGTATTCCCATCTCTTTAAGAATTTTCCACAGTTTGTTGTGTTCCACACAGTCTAGGCTTTTGAATAGCCAATGAAGCAGAAGGAGATGTTTTTCTGGAATTCCCTCGTTTGCTATATGATCCAGTGAATGCTGGCAATTTGATCTCTGGTTCCTCTGCCTTTTTAAACCCAGTTTGTATATCTGGAAGTTCTTGGCTTACGTACTGTTGAAGCCTAACTTGAAGGATTTTGAGTGTAACCTTTCTAGCATGTGGGATGAGCACAGCTGTGCGGTAGTTTGAACATTCTTTGGCGTTGCCTTTCTTTGGGATTGGAATGAAAACTTACCTTTTCCAGTCCTGTGACTACTGCTGGGTTTTCCAAATTTGCTGACATATTGAGCTCAGCACTTGAACAGCATCATCTTTTAGGATTTTAAATAGCTCAGCTGTAATTCTGTCACCTCTACTAGCTTTGTTTTTAGTAATGCTTCCTAAGGCCCACTTGACTTCACACTGCAGGTGTCTGACTCTAAGTGAGTGACCGCACCATTGTGGTTATCTGGGTCAAGACCTTTTTTTATAGTTCTGTGTATTCTTGCCACCTCTTCTTACTCTTTCCTGTTTCTGTTAGGTCCATACCATTTCTCTCCTTGGATGAAGTGTGCCTTTGATGTCTCCAATTTTCTTGAAGAGTTGTTTACTTTTCTAATTTTGCCATTCTTATAGGTGAGTCATAATATCTAGTTGCAGTTTTGGTTTGCATAATGACCAGTGTCTTGGAGCATCTTTTCCTGGGTTTATTTACTAACTGTACATCTTCTTTGATAGTGTCTGTTTAAATATTTTGCCCATTACAAATATTGAGTTGTTAGTCCTATATAATTTATTTTATGCAGTTAAAAACATTATTCCAAGGATATTCTCCACTCACTGACCAAAAGGATCCAAGTCACCAAAAGATTAAGAACCCTTGGGAGACACACAATCTTTGAAATATCTTTGGTATTTACATTTTTAGCTCCCTTCAGGAAAGGAGCAACAGAGGATGAGATGGTTGGATGGCATCACCAACTCAATGGACATGAGTTTGAGCAAACTCCGGGAGATAGTGAAGGACAGGGAAGCCTGGCTTGCTGCAGTACATGGAGTCCCAAGCGGTAGGTAGCTTGCCCATGATAGAGCATATCATCATTCTTTTTTTCTGTTCTATATACATAAAAGAGGATTTCACAGCATCACTCTCAGCTGTGAGCAGGATCCCTTATGCCTCCCTTCTCTTTGGTGACTCGTAAAGCATTTTTTTGTTTTTATTTATGAAATCCCTTGGCTCTCTTTGATTCTTAACCCAAATGGAAGAAATCCTAAGTTGTAGGAAAAAGTGAACCAACATATTCCAAGAGAATAGTCCTGTTCCACCTTCAAAATTAAGAGCTCTTTCTTCAGGCAGGAGACAAGTTTGACTGTGTGTTTGATGGCTGTTTGTGATTATCTCCACGACACAGAAGACTGACTTATTTTTCTGCCTTGATCTGTCTTTTTCATCCAGCTCCTGAGCAGAGCTCATCTCCCAGGAATTTTTTTTTTAAATCTACTGGAGCTATTTTTTAAAGGCTCTGCAGACTCTTTAAGTGGGTAGCTAAATATTGACTCAGTCATATCTGAATCTATGAGTCAAGTTTCAATATAATCTTGAGTGGCTGACGTTTTTAGGAATCATATCCTTATTTATGATCAACAGATTAGTCTTGTTTTGTGGTTCTTCTGTTAAGGAATATAAGGAAGATATAAGGTTCAGATATTTGTGCCACAATATTTTATTATATTACAATCAAGTGACTTAGGTAGGATTCGCTTCTTCCCCATTGGAAAGAAAAAAGTTGGAAAAGTAAATGCAGTGTATGCACTGAAAATGAATGCTTGGCGCACACACACCCAAAGTGATGCCATGATGAAGAATTCTTCCATGTGTTAGTTATTGCTTTAGAGTGAATTTTAGTGATAAATAGATGCCCTACATTTTACATTTGGCACATTAGCGTATGCAAATATATGTTGAGTGCTTATAATTTGGGAAATCAGAGATGTGGAAAGTACCTCCCAGCTGTGCCTCTGTGGAAGAAGAGCCGCACAGGTGACGTGGCAGAGACAGCTGTGAGGCAGCACCACGCGGAACCCGTGGCCTGGCTTGTGGGTCTCACGTGGGTGCAGCGTCGAAGTGTTTGCTGCCCCGTCTGTCTTCCTTAGAGAAAGGAGGGTAGGGAAAGGCTCTTTTGCTCATTTGCATGCCCGTGTGTGCCCGTGGCCAGTTTCCCGCTCATCTCGGTTGGTTTCCATGTAAGTTTCCACCGGTTTGGCAGCTTGGAGCAACACCCCGTTCTGGCCCCACGGCTTCCCTCTGGAGGGCTCTGCCCGGAGTCTCATAGGATGAGATCAATGTGTCGGCAGGGCTGTGCTCCTCGCTGGAGACCCTGGGATGAAGGAGCCTGCATTCAGGTCACGCAGGTGAGGTCCGTGTCCATGGTGGCTGAAGGTGGAGGGTGGTCTCCGGGTTCTAGACGCTGCCTCACTCCCCGGCTCCAGGCCTGCTTCCTCCATTGTCAGAGTCAGCAGCCCCCCTCCTGTTTCCACCATCTGTGCCCCCCTACCCCTGCCTCACCCCACTGCCACATCTCTCTTCTGCTCCTTTCCTGCTTTTAAAAGGGCTCCCGTGACCACCCTGGAGCCACCCCAAGAATTCAGGATCCTCTCCCTATGCTAAAGTCGGCAGATTAGGAATCTCAACACCCCTGCTAAGCCCCTTCCCAGCAGCACCTGGATCACTGCACGCTGGGTGAGACTCTTGGGGGATATTTTTAAAATCCTGCCTCCCAGCTCCCTCCACACCCACGCTAACATCAAAATGACAAAATTTAAGGTTCTCTTGAGTGACTGTTTGCAGCAAAGGGATTTGTTTCCATTTCTGAGACAATATGTGCAGAGATAATTCTGTGATATTTACACATTTGGTGTTTACGCCTCCATTATACATATCTTTAGGAGTACTCTTTACATAAATTAAGATGATTTGTCTCTTTCCTGAAAACAGCAACATGCCACACATTCTAGATGAAAATGAGGGATTGTTTACATCATGGACCAAATTAAAGTCTGGAAGAATTCCGAAGTAGGATAGATGGAAATTTGCTCGAATGTATGGCATATTTTAGGTTTCCTAGGAAGCTCCTTGTCAGTATAACCGCAAGTTAATATTGCAAAACTAGTTAATTATGAGATCATCTAGTATCCTAATATGTATCTGAGGTTCTCTGGAATTTAACAGAGAAAGGAACCCTAAACACATATTATCTTGCTCGGTGGGCTTGCCCAGGACCACCTCTGTCGCCTGGGAAGATGGATCACCCCCATGTGGTGGAGGTCTGGCGCGGGGGTCAGAGGGCATGGGTCCTTTTTTTTTTTTAAGGATTTATTTATTTTTGGCTCGCTGGGTCTTCGTTGCTGTGCCTGAGCCTTCTCTAGTTGCGGAGAGCAGGGGCTCCTCTCCGGTTGAGTTGTGTGGGCTTCTCTCGTTGCAGGGCGCAGCTCCCGGGTGCGGGGCCCAGGAGTTGGCACACGTGCTTGCTTGCTCTGCGGCATGTAGATCTTCCTGGACCAGGGATCAAACCTGTGTCCTCTGCACTGGCAAGGGTTCTTATCCTCTGTACCTCCGGGGATGTCCCCAGAGGGAATGGATCCTATTTTCTCCCTCCAGTCCCCCTCCCTTTCTGGCTGGGCTGTGTGGGGCAAGTTCTGTGTTCTCAAGCCTCAGTCTTACTATCTGGGAATAATTCTGACTAGGCTTTAATGAAGTAGCATCTTAGAAGATAATTTGTGAATCAGGAAGAGTTAGACACCTGCTAGTGAAGGGCTTTCCAGGTGGCTCAGTGGAGCCCCAGGGTGGGGTGGGTTCGATCGCTGGGTGGGGAAGATCCCCTGGAGAAGGAAATGGCAGTCCACTCCAGTGTTCTTGCCTAGAGAATCCCATGGACAGAGGAGCCTGGCGGGCTACAGTCCATAGGGTCGAAAAGAGTCGGACACGACTGAAGTGACAGCGCCCATGAAGTCAAGGATGAGATGTTTAGGTAGCATCACTGATTCAGTGGACATGAATCTGAGCAAACTCCGGGAGATACTGGAGGACAGAAGAGCCTTGTGTGCCGCAGTCCATGGGGTTGCGAAGAGTCAGACTTGACTTAGCGCCTGAACAAATTAAGCAACCATAGAGAGAGAATCCGCTCTTGTTCTGACAAATTCTGGAACCAGTATAGAGGAGATGGAGTTTCTCACATGAAGGTTCTCTGCAGGGTATAATCTTGGAAGCAAAAGCAAAAAAGGTGGGGTTCTCCTCCCCGTTTCTTCAGCCCTGGAGCAGCTTCGTTGAGGCAGGGTGTGGGCTCCCCAGTCTGTGTCACTGCTTCCCCGTCAAGAGCCTGAGGGTGAAGCTCTTATTTTAAGAGGATGCTCCTGGCCTTTCCCGTGTTACACTGTTTCTTTGCTTTGGTGAGAGAGTCACACACATTTGCCCTTTGGAACTTGTCTGTGAAATCCACCCTCAAGAAATACGATGCTGCCTGCAGACTGAGCTTGGCTGACTCTTCAAACTGGGAACCCTCGTCTGCTCCGTGGCTCTGGTTCCCTGAGTTCTGCTTCCTTCCCCAGGGATAAGAGCATCTTTAGGATGGCCCTCTTCACCCCCCTAGTTCAGCCCTGGGTTAGGAAAAGTGAAAGTTAGAGTTCTGACTCTTTGCCACCCCATGGACCATACAGTCCATGGAATTCTCCAGGCCAGAATACTGGAGTGGGGAGCCTGTCCCTTCTCCAAGGGATCTTCCCGACCCAGGAATCGAACCGGGGTCTCCTGCATTGCAGACAGATTCTTTACCAACGGGAAAGCCCTCTGGTTTAGAAACTCAGAAGCTGACGCCACGCAGCTTGCATAAGACTCCATCTATCTCGTGTTCCCTTTCATGGGGAAGGAGATGCTTGTCCCCTAGGGACACGAGGTTGGGAGGGAGCTAGGTGTCTCTGAGGCCATCTCTGATGTCTCCCAGCACCCACTGGGTGGCCTTCTTCTTTCCATCTGCTTTGTCCTTCACCGCGGTGCTGAAGGTGGGGCCCCCACAGTGAACATCCTTCCTGAGAGAGGATTTCCTGCCCGCCCTGCCCCCACGCTGCCCACCCCATCCCACCCCAGCCTCCACTACTTAGAGGATACCCCCATGAGTCTGCCCTTCTCTCCTCCGGTTTTCTTGGAGGGGCTGGCAGTGGGGACATGTGAGTGTCCATGCGGTCCTCCCCCTGGAGCAGCCCTCTGGTGCTGTGGGGGCCGGGGGTCCCCATCTCCCCGCCCCCTGCCCCCAGAAAGGATTATGACATGGGTCCGTCCCCCTGACAGCTGGCGTCTGGACCCTGCAGCTCCATCCTTTGCTCCCAGTTCTGTCCCGGGGACACCCTTCTCCCTCAGGACCCAACCCATCTCCACCGAGGGGCACCTTCTCGGACCCGTTTCACTGGGCCCCCTTTGGCCCCCTGGCTTGGAGAGGGTCCAGCCACCTGGCAGAGTCACACTGAGGGCATCAGGGCAGGTCTGTCTCCCTCTGGTGCCCAGGACAGGGTCTTCTGAGAGGCCGGACCGTCCCAGGGACCTCGCTTAGGGTCCTCACCAAGGCAGAAGCTCCTGGAAGGAGCTCCGGTGTCAGTCATTTAAACTAAGCCCTGAAACCACGTGATTTCATACAGAGGCAGTAAAGATAGACTCGTGATGGGCTCTTTCCTTGGCCCCCCAGACTGCAGCCCAGCCCATCACGTTTCACTGAACACCACCCACCTCTTACCTCTTACATGCATTTGAAAATGACTTTCTGTTTGTACGACATCCCAGGAGATCTGATGTCACCTTTTAAATGGTGGCTGTACTGTATCCTGTGTGATACTCAAGACAGTCTTCCGAGCAATCACAGCATGGTAGAGGTGAGCCTGGAATGAAGTTCACGTCAAGACTGTCTTGTAAATGCCTGTGAATTGGGGGTTTGTCTTTTAAGTAAAATGTAATTTGAAACTTGACATTATTTGAGCTGTTTATTTGACATTCATGGTGTTTAATTAAGAGTGGCCAGTGTGTGTGTACATATATATGCACAGCACACACAGACATGTACCTGAGTTTATCTGGATCATCCACCCTTTTGAAGAGAGAGCTGATTCTGACTCCGAGGCTTGTAGTGTTGTAACTCCCAGAACTGCTTATCAGACTCAATGACTGTTCAGAATCATTCTCTGATATTCTGGCGGCTGTTAGCTGAGAATTTCTAATTCCAATTCAGTTTAAAGATGGCCAAGTGTTTGTTGTTGTTGTCGTGTAAAAGGCATCGATAATGATTCTCGGTAGAGTGGATGTGGCCTGTGTAGGAACTGACAGGGTTATTGAGAGCTGAGACTCATAATCCCTACGTCTATATGCTTTTCCTCTCGTAGGCAATCCCATCCTCCTGCAGACACAATTCTGATGTTTTTATGCCTGAAAAGGCTTGGAAAACACAACACAGAAGTAAAGGTGCTGATTCCAGTGCGCGTGCTCAGTCACTCAGTCGTGTCCAGCTCTTTGCAACCCCACGGACTGTAGCCCGCCAGGCTCCTCTGTCCATGGGGTTCTCCAGGTTAGAGTACTGCAGTGGGTTGCCATGCCCTCCTCCAGGGGACCTTCCCGACCCAGGGATCAAGCCTGTCTCTTATATCTCCTGCATTGCAGGCAGGTTCTTTACCCACTGAGCCACCAAGGAAATCCCTGAAACTATATATTTTTTCAGGTAACAATGCTCTTTTAAAAAATCTGCTTTGCACTTTGTCATGAATCATTTGGCTAAAATGCCTTTCCATCATCCTGTACAGTTCACTCATGTTGGAATTGGTGAAAATCAGGTGATTTGCAAATCTGCACTTGCCAAAATCAAATTATGAGCATTATTTGTAGTTAGAAACCTATACTTTCTAGGCTGAATGCAGGTTCTAGTAATTGCCCAACCAGGGATGACATTTTGCTCATAAGGAGACAGAAATCCCAAGGATCATTTCTCACCCAAGTAGAATCAATATCTCAGCTGGGGGGGAAAACGGGGAATTTTTTGAGCGTATCTTTTTTTTAAAAATTGAAATATAGTCAATTTATAGTGTTGTGTTCATTTCTTCTGTACAGCAGGGTGTCTCAGCTATGCATGTATATATTCTTTTTCATATTCTTTTCCATTATGGTTTATCCCAGAACATTGAGGATGCTACACCCGGTGCGCGACAGTAGGACCTTGTTGTTTATCCATTCTATGTATGCTACTTTGGTGTACGCCTTTAATGATGTGCCTGTAAGTTTGTGTGTGTGCCTGTGTGTGTAGATTCCATGCCTCTCACCTGGAGGTGTTAATAAAGATGTATAGCTTATATTCAGTTTGATAATACTATCTCATATTTTTAAACATTGACTTTCCTTTGTTTATTTTATTCACGTATCTTTGGTTGCGCTGGGTCTTCGTTGCCACACACGGGCTTTATCTAGTTGTGGTGAGTGGGGGATGTCTTTGCGGTGGTGCAGGGGCTTCCCGTTTCGGCGGCTTCTCTTTTGCAGAGCCCCGGCTCTGGGGCGCGTGGGCTCAGTTGTGGCTCCTGGGTTCTAGAGTGAGGCCTCAATAGTTAGGGTGCACAGGCTTCGTTGCTCTGAGACGTGTGGGGTCTTCCCGGAACAGGGATCAAACCCGTGTCCTCTGTGTTGGCAGGCAGCTTCTTATCCTCTGTACCACCAGAGAAGTCCTTGTATTTTTTTAAGAAAAGCTTTCATTTTCCTTTGTCTAAAACTAGCAGCCTAGTAGGTTTGAAGCTGGTTAAAAGTCAAGCACCCTGGTGTCCTTGTTGAATCTTGCCATAACGTGTGTAAAATTGCTTTCCTGTTGGGACCCAATTTCTTCGTTGTGAAGGGAGTTGACAAAATTTCTCAATGAAATAATAGTTGTGAATGAGCCAGCCTGGCAGCCCCTTAATTAGGAGGCGTGTGCATGGAGCTGGGATCTTCTAAGCTCTGATCATGGAGCACAGCTCAGTCGTGACTAATTGTTGGTTAAATGGACATTTTTAAAGTAATTTTATGTTTTCTTTGATCCAGAATATTTTTTAAATTGACATTGCTTTTTTGTTGTATATGTTTAAGGTGTAGGACGTGATTTGATATGTATACATTATGAAAGGATTGCCGCAATCCAGCTAATTAGTATACACCTGAATCGGAAAGATCCCCTGGAGAAGGGAATGGCTACCCACTCCAGTATTCTTGCCTGGAGAATCCCATGGACAGAGGAGCCTGGCAGACTACAGTCCATGGGGTCGCAAAGTGTCGGACACGACTGAGCGATGGACACTTTTACTCTTCACTTTAAGTGGTTACCTTTTAGTGTTTGTGTGGTGAGAACACTTGAGCTCTACTCTCTTAGCAAATTTTAAGTATACAATACAGTGTTATTAACTGCAGTCACCATGCTGTGCATTAGATCCCTAGAACTTGTTTATCTTGTAACTGAAAGTGTCTACAAATGATCTCTCTACATCTCCTCTACCTGCAGCCCCTGGCAACCACCAGTTGACTCTTTGCTTCTGGGTTCAACATTTTTAGATTCCACATATAAGTGAGGTTCCACATGTGAGTGAGGTTCCACATGTAAGTAAGTGAGGTTCCACATGTAGGTGAGTTTCCACATGTAAGTGAAGTTCCACATGTGAGTAAGGTTCCACATGTGAGGGGGTTTCTACATGTGAGTGAGGTTCCACATGTAGGTGAGGTTCCACATGTAGGTGAGGTTCCACATGTAAGTGAGGCTCCACATGTGAGTGAGGTTCCACATGTAGGTGAGGTTCCACATGTGAGTGAGGTTCCACATGTGAGTGAGGTTCCACATGTAAGTGAGATAATTCAGTGTCTGTTTTCTGTGTCTGGCTTATTCTACTCAGGTAATGTCCTTCAGGTTTACCCATGTTGTTGGAAATGGCAAGATTTCTCTCTTTCTTCAAGGCTGAGTAATATTCCATCATCTCTGTCTTGATTTATATATAAATGCAATGAACATGGGGTTGCAGATACCTCTTTGAGATCATGATTTCATTTCCTTTGGATATTTACCCAGAACTGAGATTGGTGGATCAGTATTACTTTTGTTTTTAACTTTTTTAAAGCAGCATTATGGTACCTTTCACATGGTATTACCTCTTAGTATTCTTTTTTGCTATGGATGGGAAGTGTGTAAATTGATGAAATTAGTACCCTTGCTTCTGCATTTCAAACTGGAAAAACATAAACAGAGCCGACCACCTCTGTTAAGGTAATATCTCTACCCTCAGGCCTCAAATCTGTGTACTTAACCCCACATGGACCTGAAAAATCCCAGGGAGCTCCACGCTGGTATGAGTTAGGATGTCCTGATATCAGACCTCTTGTGAAAAACTCGAGGAACCTGACATGCAAGGCCTGCTACCCCAGACAGCTGCTTCCTTCTCCGAACAAAATTGTGAATGCCTTTCTGAACAAAAGCTGTGAACGAATCCCCACTGTTCATTATCTTTAAATAGCACAACATTCCAGTGAAACACTTTTCCAGGTATTTCGACAAGTGAAATCCCTTGTTTGCGCTTCACAGTACAGCTTTCTCAGTAAAATGACTGAGAACTTTTCCCTCCTATAAATGAAAGGGAATCAATCCTTCAACTGTAGAATTCTTTGGGGGATTTTTTTTTTTAATTCTTTCACCCTTCTTTATTTTTTGAACATTCTAGTCTCCTGTAGCAAAAACAGGCAGGACATGTTAAACTGTGGGAGATGACTGCAGTGTACAGTTTTCCAAAAAGGAATCTCACATTTTAGATCTAGTTATTTTCGAAAAAAACAAAACCAAGAAGAGGCCCACGCACAGGGTTGTTTGTGATCACTAGCCATGCAGTGCACATTTTTTTTTAATTATGTATTTTTAATTGGAGGGTAATCGCTTTACAGCATTGCGTTGGTTTCTGCCATACATTGACATGAATCACACACAAAGATACATATGCTTCCTCCCTCCTGAACCTGCCTGCCGCCTCCCACCCCATCTTCCCCCCCAGATTGTTACAGAGCCCCAGTCTGAGCTCTCTACGGCAAAGCCCACTGGCTATCTGTTTTACGTATGGTGATGTGTGTGTTCCCGTGCTAGCCTCTCAATTTGTTCTGCTGTGTCTGTTCTCTGGTCTGCGCCCCACTGTGCGGCACATGCTCCGAAGGGTCCGTGGAGCCCAGGTCACTGTATCTCCATGCAGGGGACTTGAGGGGTGGGGAGCATGGCCCAGCCCTCACTGGGATTCGAGTTCAGGTGGGCAGGCAGCTCCGATACGTGAGAAGTGCAAAACAACCTCGGAGACTTTTCTGCATGGGCAGGGTGACAGTACCTGGAGGAGCAGAGGGAAGAGATGGGTCCCGAAGGGGAGGCATTCTGGGGGCTCTGAAGAGCTCCGGAACCACAGTCCTGTATGTCTCAGGGCAGAGGAGGATTCAGGGAGAGCCGAGGTGGTAGGTGAGAAGTGATTTATTAGAATAGGACGCTTGTGAGGCTTATAGCGGAGGAGGCAAGAAGTGCCTCACCCGAGAACTTAGTGGGCTATGGTTTTATAATCCAAAGAAAAGTGGGGAGAGGCCGAAGAGCTTCTTTGTCTTTCTCGAGAAGACGTCATGCTTCTACCATCACTTCCTCCTCCAGGCTGAGCAGGGGGATTTTCTTGTCTCTGCATGGCCAAGTGAGGTCCACAAATCGTTGTTTTTCATGCGTGCGGAGAGCGTGTCCTAGGGATCACTAACCTTCAGAGCTCACTGGGAAGCTTGTGGGTCTCTTGCCACAGTGGTTTTATTGTTTTGGGGGGCTCGTCTCGTACTTCTGATGCGTGGTTTTGTCGCTGAGCAAGCCTGCTTGGTTTTGTGGTTAAGCCAACCTGCTTTCTTGAGTAATCACTAATTTACAGGGGTCTCCCATATTTTTCTATCTACAGTCCCCGAGTGGGATTCACTGTTTAATCACCTACTTTGTCCCTTTACTCTGTCCCTGTCAAGAGGAGAGGCAGGTGGGGGCAGCCCACCCATACTTCTGGTCCACCCCGTACGTCCATTCCCGGAACATCTTTCTGAAAACTCTGCTCTGACTTGAGTGCTTCCCTGATTAAACACCCTAGAGGCCCCTTGTCATCGTCACGCAAGGATCCTATCTTCTCAGCCCCAGGGTCAAGTCCCAGCCAGGCCCCTTCTGACCTCTGAGCCCCCCATCCCGCCATCCTCTGAGTGCTCTCTGGCTCACGCCCTCCGTGTTGGCGGCCCCTGGCACTCAGAAGGGACCCGGCACGAGCTCGGGAACCAACAATGAAGGGCCTCCCCAGGGGCCCATGCAGGGCAGGACATCGGCTGGCAGGAGGCAAGGAGCTGGCAGAGGCAGGCATTTGTCTGCTGGCGCTCCAGGAACAGGGCTGGACCAGATGGGAAGGAGGGGCAGGGCTGGTGGAAGCAGGAGGCCCTGCAGTGTCTGCAGGCCTCAAGGTCAAGGTCAAGACCATTTCAGAGGTTGGACTTGCGCCAGGGCTGCAGAAAGTGCACTGATTCTGAATGTCTCCAAATGTTAAAAGTAGAGAACGTTAGATTAAACTTTCTTTCCAGCTAGAACCGCCTTCTTCCTCGCCCTGGGATTTCTGGACAGCCAGTACTCAGGGGAACAATTTCCTGCACGCCCATGCTGTCCCGTGTCCAGCCCCCTAGCCCTGGGTGGGGTCACGGGGCACAGGCCCGGCAGGCAGGTGTGTTTGGGGGCCAGGGGACCAGGGCTGGGAGGAGCAGCACCCGCCCGACCACAGGGGGCGCCCTGCCCAGGGTACGCCCGGCGGGGTGGGGGCAGGGAACATCTGATTTTTCAAGATCAGCTGGCCATCTCCTTTGTGTATGTAGATGATATAATTTAAAAATGCAGACAACTGAGCAGGATATTCTTTACACCGTGAGCTAAACAGGCTGTCTCCTGGCTGCATGTGGTCTCTGGGCAGTCGCCTTCTCCCACAACTGATTCATTCCTGGTTCATTTCTTCACCTCCAGAAATCCATCCCTCTGTCCTTTCCACAGTGCGCCTTTGCCTCCTCCATCTCCTGAGTCCCCACGGGCATTCTTGAAGGCTCTGTATCTATATCCAGGCTCCTTTGACTCATGGACTCAGGCCCCGGGTGCCCTTACCTGCAGCCAGGTGATTGAAGAGCAGGAAACACATGAGGCGGCAAGGCAGCCCAGCCTTCCCCCAGGTCAAGTGCAGAGCCGCTGCGAGGCTGTAGACTGCATCGCTAGGGGGAGAAAAAAAAGGCAAAGGAGACAAGCAGAATGTTGACACTTAGCTGCCAAGCCTAGCGTCTTCTTATAATTTCTCACAAGGAGAAAGTAGGTCAGCCTCGCCCCGTGCAGCCTGGTTCTCCTGCCGTCCCGTCAACTGTGCAGACGCTCCGCTCGACCTGCCAGGGAGCCGGAGACCGCCCGGCTGGAAGTAATGAGAGGAGACCCTCACGTTCTAAGGAAGGCATTTTAAGGAAAGGGAATCCAGGAATCTCGCTCCCTCTGCTTGTGATCAGAGGCTGTAAAAACCGTTAGGGCTGGAAGAGGACTGAGGAAATGAGGAAGTCATGGGGGTGGGTGCTGGGCATCTGCCCTTCTCTAGCGAAACTTTATAAAATAAAAAATTATCATTCAATTATATGATAGCCTTGATTTTGAACAATTGAATTAACTAACAGGCCCATGTCTTTGAAAGGTCAACTGGATCAAGTTCAGTGTGACCCTTTGTCTTTAGACCTGAAAGCCAAGCTGTGCAAAGAGTCCATCAACAGAAGAATGGGTAAATGAAATGGGGTCTGTCTGCGCAACGGAGTATTATTCAGCCTTGGAAAGGGAATGTTGACACAGCTGTAGTAATGGACGAACCTTGAGGTCTCGGTGAGATCAGCCGGACACAAAGGATGAGAATGGTCACATTCACAGAGACAGAAAGCAGAGAAGAGGTTCCCAGAGGCTGGAGGAGGAGGGGACGGGAAATGTTCAATGGGTGTGGGGTTTCCATTTGGGAAGATGAAAAAGTTCTGGAGATGCTGGTGGTGAAGGTGGCCCTGTGAAGGGACTTAATGCCACTGAACTGTACACTCAAAAAGGCTTAAAATGGTAAATTTTATGTTCAGTCTATGTTGAAAGTGAAAGTTGCTCAGTCCTGTCTGGCTCTTTGTGACCCCACGGACCCTACAGTCCATGAAATTCTTCAGGCCAGAATACTGGAGTGGGTTGCCTTTCCCTCTTCCAGGGGATCTTCCCAACCCAGGGATCAACCCCGGTCTCCCACAGAGTAGGCTGATTCTTTACCAACTGAGCCACAGGGGAAGCAGTCTCCACCACAATTTAAAAATTCCTACCGGTGCCAGAATCTGAGGACAGCATCTGGGAGAGTCCAGACTCTTTTTCTATCACACAGACCCGGGTTCTTGAGAATTGTCTTCTTCCCTCTTCAGTCTAGCAGAAACCTCAGTGATCTTTTTTGTCCGTTTTATCCGTCTCTTGTTGCTCGGCCAGGTACCACCACATCCTGTCCTAACGAAAGCAGTAAGAGTCTTTAAACTTGATAAGAGGCCTTTTAAGGAAACCCTCTCTGCATTTGTGGCTCCAAGCAGAATGTGGTCCTGTCTGCATCAGCTTTGGATAAAAGGCTGCTCATCTCTAAAAATCAGGACCATCTCAAGAGGCTCTCATTCTTCCCCCAGCCAGTCTCGGCGTGTCTGTGACGTCTGTGTGGAGCAACAGCGCCCAGCCCAGCTGGTCCCCACCTAGCTGCTGCCTCCCGCCCCACCGGGATCCCCCCAGCTCTGGCTCCAGTTCTGTTGATTCTTGGGATTCCCTACCTTCTGTCCTCCCACACAGAAGGAAGGGCGGGGAAGGAGGGGCGGGGCTTGGGAGCACCTCACTCTGAGTCCTTGCTGGGAGGGAGCACGGTGCAGGCCCCGCCCCACCCAGGCCAGGCTGCAGGAACCTGAGGACCCCCACCCCCACCCCACCCACCGGGAGTCTGGCTCCCTGGAGAGGTCTGGAGGTCTCCCCGACCGGAGAGGCGCCCCCGACCTCATTTCTGAGGCAGATGGAACTGGGGAAGAGACTTGCACGACTTTACTCTGTCCTGTGGCCAGCACTTCCCCCGGGGTTTTTCTGTCCTCCTTTGACTCCTAATTCCGGACGTCCCCAGGACAGAGCTGGGGAGGCCCTGCTCCCAAGCAGCTGGACAGGCAGACTGGACTGGCAGTGGCCCTGCCTGGAGCTGGGCCTGCCTGCTGTGGTGGGCAGCGTGGGTCGGGGTGGGGAAGGCACGTGGAGGGGAGACTGCAGCTCAGGTTGCAGACTTCGGGTAAGGAGGAGGAGGGGTCCCCGTGGGGTACTGGGGCTGGGGAGCCTGGTGAGGAGTGCTGGGGCTGTTCCTGCAAGTCGGGGGTGGGGGGAGCTCAAGAGAAGGCGAAGGTGTCCCCATCAGGGACATACATCAACCAGTGGACAGGGCGGAGGGAGGCCGCAGGTGAGGGCCCCACTGACGGCAGGGCTGAGATCCAAGCGTGCAGAGGGTGCCCTGCGGATCTAGGAGAGCAGCCGGGGGATAAAGCAGGACTTAGGACTAAGAGGAAGATTTTAGCCACTGTCGTCGTAATGAGAGTGCCGTGAGGCCCAGGTGAGCAGCTCTGGGACGCAGACGTTAATTGGATGGGTGGCTGGATGCAGGAGGGTGGAGAGGTGCCTGGATAGGTAGGTGCATGAATTACCCCTGGATGCAAAGGTTGATGAAGCTAGAAAAGTAGCCGAGATCAGATCACGAAGGGCTTGTAAGGGGCTTGGGGACAGTGCGGAAAGCCACATGCGGCGTTTAAGTGGGGGATCTGTGTGTCCAAGCAGCCCTTCTGGCTCCGTGTGGGCAAGAGGCTCGTGGAAGCAAAGACCAGTTGGAAGGTCGTTGCGGGGAGAAGCCTTGGCACCCTGCAGTCAGGTTGAGGGACAAGAGGATGCTGTCAGTGGGCTGGTTCCACAAATTCAGGAAGCAGAGCTCTCAGGACGCAGTATCTTAGCTAGATGACTAAGTTAGTCAGTCAGTTGACTAGTTAGGTGACTGGGGTAAGAGCGGGAAGCACCAGGACAGCCCCCGGTCAACTAGGCAGCTCGGAGGGGGAGCACCACCTTGCACGGGGTGGGCCGCGGGAGGGAGGGGTCAGGTTGAGGAGATGGAGGGGTCGTCAGGAGGGTCACAGTGCCTGCAGGCATGATGGCGTCTGTCTGGCAGCCAGCGCCTCCTCTCCTGGGCGCTGAGGGCCCACCCTGCCCTCATTCACGTCCCTGTGTCCCCCGAGCTCAGCTCAGGGGGCTTGAAGATGGACTCACCGGTCTCCCCCTCCAGCAGCAGCCTTTCCCCTGTGAGCCGAGCCACCGCCGTGACCCGGACGCAGGGGCAGTGTGCTCACTCGAGGAGCTGGCCAGCAGGTCCATGTGGAGGAGCCTCCAGACCCAGTGGCCGCGTCCGGCCCCGCGCCTCAGACCCTGGACTGGATGCCAGCCAGACCCTGGGCTCCTCGCCAGAGGCCCCGGGCCTCGCTTCCCCGCGCTGGGCCCGAGCGAGACGGGGCCCCTGGCTCGGGACACATGTCACCAGCTCCGACGGTGAGGGAGCCGCCCTCCGCACGACCCGGGCTGGGCCGTTCACCAAAGGCGCTCTGCTGCAACGTGGCCTCGGGAAAGTGGGTCAGGTGTCCCCAGGGCCAGCCCAGGGGCCAAGCCGGCAGGAGACGAGGGGCTGAGCGAGGCTTCCTCTGGAGTCCCAATGGTGGGGCCGGAGCCATTCTGTCTTCCTGTGGTGATGCACTTCCTTCCCCGGCGTGTCGCCCCCTCCCTGTCTGCCTGCTCTGAGGTGGACGGACACGCGGGCGTGCGCTCTGTGTTTATCCGTCCCCATCCCTCCCGACCCTGGGCTTTCTTCTGGTCCTGTGCCGCTGCTGAGGAGAGGGTGGTGGGTCACCTCTGGGGGCCATTTGATCTGAGTGACTCCGTGACCCTGAGGCGTCTCCGAGGGACCCTGAGAGGGGCCTGCTGTGTGGAGTCCGTGGCTTGAGGTGAGGGCAGCCCCAGAGGGACGGGGATGGGTCAGGGTCAGGAGAAGGACTTCCGGTCCTGTGGGAAGGTGAGGGCTGACAGGCCAAGCGCGTCAGGAGGCGGTGGGGCTCCTCCAACTGCCTGGGTCAAGCTGATAATCCGCTGCTGTGACAGAAGAAAGAGGAGCCTCCTTGTTTCTCACAGCTGCTCCGGAAACACATCTGCTGCCCTCAGCCTTCTGAGGCCGTCAGAGCTGACTTACAGGCCCCCTCCAACCTTCCAGACAAAGTGGTTGAGCTGTACTCATGGGGTGCCTCTTGTCAGAGTCCAGCTGGAAAGATTAGCCAACTGGGAAAGGACGTGGGAAAGCAACCTAAATGTCCACGGACGGGTGATTGGATAAAGAAGGTGTGGCACATACAGACAGTGGAATATTACTGAGTCACGAAAAAGAGTGAACCCCTGCCATTTACAGCAACGTGGATGGACCGAGAAATTATCATACTGAGTGAAGTAGGTCAGACAGAGAAAGGTAAAGATAGAGATGGTACCTCTCATATGTGCAATCTAAAAGAAATAGTACAAGAGAACTTATTTATAAAACAGACTCACAGATACGGAAAACAAGCTTATGGTTTCCAAAGTGGAAAGGAGTAGGGCAGAGATAAATTAGAAGTTTGGGATCAGCAGACAGACACTACTATACATAAGACAAATAAGCAGCAAGTACCTATTTATGTATAGCGCAGAGAACTCTATACTCAATTACTCAATATTCTATAATAACCTATGTGGGAAAAAAACCTGAAAAAGTATCAATATATGTATATGTGTAACTGAATCACTTTGCTATGTACCTGAAGCTAACACAATGTTATAAATCAGTTATACTCCAATGCAAAATAAAAAGTTAAAAAGGAAAGATCCCATAAGCTCAGCACATTCTGAGAAAACCCACACCATTAAACTTTAGTTCTTGAACTTCTCTTATCTTGCTTCAAACGAATTTCAGTTTTCTCTATTTACTGTCCCCAAAACATGGTAACATTGTTGTTCAGTTGCTAAGTCATGTCTGACTCTTTGCAACTCCTGGGACTATAGCATGCCAGGCTCCTCTGTCCTTCACTATCTCCCAGAGTTTGTCAGATTCATGTTCAGTGAGTCAGTGATGCTATCTAACATTGTTGGCGCTTAATGTTGGGAAAATTGTCCTTGGGACAAATTGTAGTGGTGTGAATGAAATGATGCTTCTAAAAGTTTCCATGTTTATATTAAAGGATAAACACAAAAAATGTTTTGAAAGCCTCAAATGATTAAAAATAAATGTGTGTCAATTTAGCTTCAGTAACAAATTAAATAACTTAGGTATTTGCTGGGAGATTCTGCCACAGGGCCTAAACACAAAGCAAAAATTGCATTGAAATACATGGCTGGTGAGAGTGTGATGGCCATTTGTGCCATTACAAAGGAGTATTGATCAGCTTCTCAGTGGCCAGTCCTGCTCAAGGCTATAGGAAGAAAGAAATGAGAAGACTCTCTGCCTTCATTTCAGGGCCAAGTCCTTTGGACAGCAAGGAGATCAAACCAGTCAATCCTAAAGGAAATTAACCCTGAATATTCATTGGATGGACTGGTGCAGAAGCTGAAGCTCCAATACTTTGGCCTCCTGATGCGAAGAACTGACTCATTGGGAAAGACCCTCATGTTGACAAAGATTGAGGATGAGATGGTTAGGCAGCATCACTGATTCAATGGACATGAATTGGAGCAAACTCCGGGAGATGGTGAAGGACAAGGGAGCCTGATGTGCTGCAGTCCATAGGGTCACAAAGGGCAGACGCAACTGAGCGACTGAATAGCAACAGGGGGGAACATGTGCACAAAGATGTTTACTGTGGCAAAAGATAAAAATTTTATTAAAAATGTGAAGGTCCGTCAATATAGAAAGGTTGATAAAAGACTGTTTCCACTTCTGCATCATGGACCGCTATGCAGCCCTTTGGAGGCATCTGTCAGTACTCTAGAGGCTGGCAGGGTCAGGGGGGTCTGCGATGCTTCATAAGTGAGAAGAACAAGATACACAAATGCATCGTCATCTCAAAGCCTGCACCCGTGAGCACTTGTCCTTCTGTCCTTGTGGACAAGGACAAAGATATTCAGGCACACACTGCGGGTTATCACGTGTCTGTACTGGATCGCATGTGCTTTAAAGTTTAGTATGTAAACGAAAATGGCATTACCCTGGAACCAGGAGTGGGAGGAACATGGTTGGTGGTGGATCGCTGAAGCTCAGTGTTCTTGGAGTTCAGGGGAATGATGTGGGGGTGGAGAGGTGGAGTCCTCAGGTTAGTGGGGACCTCATGATCAAGGGGCTCTCAGGCTAAGTGTTTAGGTTTTATCCTGGGAAGGCATGGAGAGCTCTGGAGAAGAGCAAGCAGGTTGAGGAGGGCAGGTCTGGGCTTCAGAGAGGAGCACAGAGCCTGAGCTGGGACCACACCCACACCATGGCCTCTTGGTTTGTTTTTTTTTTTAATAAACTTCATTTTTTAGAACAATTTCAGGTTCACAGAAAAACTGAGTGGAAACTGAAGAGATGACTCATTTAGCCCTTGCCTCCACACATTGTCCCCCACCAGAGCAGTACCTGTGTTCGGTTCAGTTCAGTTCAGTTCGGTTGCTCAGTTGTGTCTGACTCTTTGCGACCCCATAGACTGCAGCACGCCAGACCTCCCTGTCCATCACCAACTCCCAGAACTCATTCAAACTCATGTCCACTGAGGCAGTGATGCCATCCAACCATCTCATCCTCTATCATCCCCTTCTCCTGCTGCCTTCAGTCTTTCCCAGCATCAGGGTCTTTTCTAATGAGTCTGCTCTTCGCATCAGGTGACCAAAGTATTGGAGTTTCAGCTTCACCATCAGTCCTTCCAATGAATATTCAGGACTGATCTCCTTTAGGATGGACTGGTTGGATCTCCTTGCAGTCCAAGGGACTCTCAAGACTCTTCTCCAACACCACACTTCAAAAGCATCAATTCTTTGGCGCTCACCTTTCTTTATAGTCCAACTCACATCCATACATAACTATTGGAAAAACCATAGCCTTGACTAGACGGACCTTTGTTGACAAAGTATTGTCTCTGCTTTTTAATATGCTATCTAGGTTGGTCATAACTTTCCTTCCATGAAGTAAGAGTCGTTTTGTTTCATGGCTGCAGTCACCATCTACAGTGATTTTGGAGCCCAAAAAACAAAGTCAGCCACTGTTTCCACTGTTTCCCCATCTATTTGCCATGAAGTAATGGAACTGGATGCCATGATCTTATTCTTCTGAATGTTGAGCTTTAGGCCATCTTTTTCACTCTCCTCTTTCACTTTCATCAAGAGGCTCTTTTGTAATATGCTGTCTAGGTTGGTCATAACTTTCCTTCCAAGGAGCAAGTGTCCTTTACTTTCATGACTATACATGTGTTACACTCAGTGAGCTTATGCTGACATATTGTCATCCAAAGTCCATGTTTACGTTAGGGTTCCCTCTTGATGTTATACTCTATGGGTTTTGACAAATGCATATGGCATGTGTCCACATTGTCCTATATAATTGTTCCGTTGCCCTAAAAACCCTCTTTGCTCTGTTTTTTCATCCCTCCTTCCTTCCTAACCCCTGGCAACCACTAATCTTTATTCACTGTCCATCATTTTGCCTTTTCTAGAATGTCACATGGTTGGAATCATACCTACATGTGGCCATTTCATATTGGCCTCTTTCACTTACTGATGTGCATTTAAGATTCCTCCATGATTTTTCCTGGCTTGACAGCTCAGTTCTTTTTAATGCCAGTGTTTCACTGAATGGATCGCAGTTTATTTATTCATTCACCTATGGAAGGACATCTCAGTTGCTTTTAAGTTTTGGCGGTTGTGAGTAAACGTCTGTATGCAGGTTTTTGTGTGAATATAAGTTTTCCGCTCATTTGGGTAAATGCCAAGAAGCATGATTGCGGGATCACACGATAAAAGTATGTTTATGGTTTTGTAGAAAACGCCAGACTGTCTTTCAGAGTGGCTGTGCCATTCTGCATTCCCAGGAGTGAACGAGTTTCCGCTCTTCATGTCCTTGCCAGCCTTTTTCGCTGTCAGTGTTTTGGATTTTGGCCATTCCATTAGGTGTGTGGTAGAATCTCTTGTTTCTTTCATTTGTATTTCCTTGATGGCATGTGTGTAGAAACTTTTTTTAATATGCTTGTCATATGTATGTTTCTTCCCTGAGGTATGTGTTTGGCATTTTGCCCATTTGTTAATCAGGCTATTTGTTTTCTTGTTGTTGAGTTTTGAGAATTCCTTGTATATTATTGATAAGTCCTTTATCAGATATGCCTTTTGCAAATACTTCTCCCCACTGTGTGGCTTGCCTCCTCTTCTCTTGACATTGTCTTTCACAAAGCAGAAGTTTTTAATTTTAATGAAGTCCAGAGTATCAGTTTTTTCTCTCATGGATCATGTCTCTGGTATTGCATCTGAAAAGTCACCATCATATCCAAGATTGTCTAGACTTTCTCCTATGTTATCTTCTAGGAGTTTTATAGCTTTAAGTTTTACGTTTAAGACTGATCCATTTGGAGTGACTTTTTGTGAAGGGCGTAAGCTCTGTGTCTGCATTCATTTCTTTGCTTGTGGGTGTCCAGTTGCTCAAGCTCCATTTGTTGAAAATGGCTGTCTCTGCGCTTCCGTGCTGCCTTTGTTCCTCTGTCAGAGACCCGTTGACTATAGTGATGGGGGTTTCTTTGTAGGCTCTCAGATGCCTTTCATTTTCCTGTCCTTCTGCCAATATTACACTGTCTTGCTTGCCATAGTTTTATGGTAAATCATAAAATCCAGGTAATGTCAGTCTTCCAGCTTTCTT